GAGAGAGAGAGAGAGAGAGAGAGAGAGAGAGAGAGAGAGAGAGAGAGGCTCGCAAATGGAAACGTGCAACATCTCCTTCTGCGACGTGGACAGCAAGGTGGACCAGTTCTTCCAGCCCACGCTCTACATCATCGTCATCGTCCTGGGGCTGCCCACCAACTGCATGGCCCTGTGGGCCGCCTACATGCAGGTGAGACCTCACGTGCACGCCCTTTCCTTCCTCCTCACCGTTAGCCCCAAACCAGAGTAGACCAAAAGTACAAAAATAACATTTATTGGGTCACAGTTGAGTATATCAGCTGGGCTCTACCAGACAAAAACCTCTCTCTGGGTACCAGTCGGTCAAAGGAGGACTGGACACAACCAAGTCCTATTGGCTAGTTAGCTCTGGGCATGAACAGGCCAGGTCCTAATTCATGCAGATGACAGGAATGTGCTAACAAATGGTGTGTGTGTGTGTTGACCTAATGGTGGATCTAATGCAACAGAGAGAGAAAAGAGAGGAAAGGAGAGTTCTGTGGACACAGCCGGAGACTTTACACAGAAAATAGTTCTATAAGGAAATAAAACAATCAGTAATTTACATAGATCATGTGATAGCATACTATGCTAAAGTGAGAAATTATAGCCAAATTCTATTTGAAAAATGGCACTGGTTGAATTGAACGGTGGTTTTGCGTCTCACATTTCGTCAAAGATTTGAAAGGGAACAAAAGTAAGGCGAGAATGAGGCCGGTTTATTTATCTTTTACCAAAGAATCGTGTAAAAATGTAACTCAGTCGCCCCCCGGATCGCTGTGTTATGCAGGTTAAAGGCGCTTCCACACAGACTTCATCTCTTAAACAGGACGCTTAATCCATGTTTTAAATACATAATTGCCAGAGTAAACACCATTTTAAATCTGGACTCCAGGATTCCTCCCCGGCCATTAATAAACCTTGAGGATATTTGCTGTGTAAACTGTTCAGAAACGCAGCAGACTAAGCAAATTACCGGGAACCCGCGGAGCAGGATGCCTCTGGACTTGCAGCACATTTCGCCCCCCCCCCCCCCCCGGGTCGTTTTCCCATACAGAATCGAGCATCCACCGTTGGGTTTCCCACAGACTGTCGGTTTGCTTTGGCAGCTGCCGGACGGGTCGTTATTGACTTTTTATTCAGGCAAATTTGTGGAGCAGACGCCGTCGACGGGTTCAGGTTCCCATTATTTGTCCTCCTCCTCAGCGTCAGGGGATAGTTCGGTTCAACTCCAAAGTCGGGTTTAGCGCTCCTTTAACCTCCCTCTGTGTTGGGTGGAGTTTTTTATGGCTCTGGGAGACTCCCCCTTCGTTCTCTGTGCCACAAACCGGTGTGTTATGCCACACAGGTGTCCAATCCAGCCTTTAAATCATCCGCAGAAACCAGCTACATTTCCCCATTTCCGAGCTGTGGACAGGAAGCAGCTTTTACTCAGTTTTCAAAGCAATCTTCTGTCGGAAAAACAAGATTTTCCTGCAAAAATGATTACATTACAACACATCTGGGGCAAATAAAGACAAACGTTGCATAACATTTAAATCCATGAGGTGGAACTCAAGGCAGAACTCAGGCGCAGAGATCTTTGGCAAAAAAGCACACTTGCAAAGATTGAAAGACAAGGAAAAGACAAAGTACCAAAATAAGAATCACTCTAGAAAACGAGGCAGACAAAGCTGTGAACGAAGTAAAAAATAAAATCACTCTAAACAGTGGATGGCAAAAGCCTACGAAACAAAGTAACAAAATAATACTCACGAGAGTCAGACAAAACTAAGAGGATAAGAACACAAAAATCACTCTTTCGAGGAATAACAAAAATCAAGGCGAGGTTTGGTTTGAGGACAAGAGACGAAACCCACTGGCAAAAACAAAGAGAGACTCAGACTATGTAAACACAAGGGAAGGGAACCCCAGGTGAACACTATCAGGGAAGACAAGCAGACATGTGACACACAGGGGAGTAAAAGAGACCTGAAACAAGGGCGATGTACCTTTCAAAATAAAACAGGAAATGACAAGACAACCACGGAAACAGGACGAAAACACAGAAAATTCCCCCGAGACATGACAAAAACACACACAAAGGTCACTCAGTAGACCTATTGAATATTGAATTGAATTTAATTGAATATACTTCATTGATCTCCAGGGAGAAATTGACTTCCGGTACAGCCCCTATCAAGATCAAACAAACAAAACACATGGACACATCAGTTCGGGAAGACCGTGGTTACCCACACAGGGTCTGAACAAGAATACATTGGTAAAAGGTTAAGGGAAGAGTGTAAAAAAAGGACCAGTGCCACGCCCCCTACAGGGGACGTAACAGTGATTTAAAAAAAACACCTCAGTACACTAAAGCACAGATACAGTCAAATCACAACATCGAGAACACATAGGGAGGGAGGGATAGGGGTTGGAAGGAGGGGGAAAGGTAACAGCGAGGCACTGACTACTCATTATTTTCTAATCTATTTAACTTTCAAACTCGTGTTTCCCTTTGTCCTGTCCTGTTCCTCCAGGTACGCCAACGCAACGAGCTGGGCATCTACCTGATCAACCTGTCGGTGGCCGACCTGCTCTACATCACCACCCTCCCGCTGTGGATCGACTACTTCCTGCAGCACGATGACTGGATCCACGGTCAGGAGAGCTGCAAGCTGTTTGGTTTTATCTTCTACACTAACATCTATGTCAGCATTGCCTTCCTGTGCTGTATATCACTGGACAGGTACCTGGCCGTGGCGTACCCCATGCGCTTCGCGAAGGTTCGACGAATCAAAACAGGTACGGCGTTCCTGGTCAGACTCGTGCGATTCCACTCTAACGAGAGAGAGAGAACCTCTTAGTTTGCCCAGAAAATTCTATTTTGGAGGTTAAAGAATCACCTCATTAGGATTTCCGTTTTTTAGATCTGTCAGAAAAAATCTGAAAAACGGTTTAGAAAGTCAGTTTTTAAATCTTGTCTTGTCACAAACGCTGTATCAGAAGGTTTCACACATCAGAATAATAATAAAATAAGGAAATACTTCTAATCCAGAGCAGGTGTAATATTTTACCGTGAAAAATTAAGTCAAATTGAACATAAAGCCTGTTTAAAGGCATTGTTTGTTGAGCAAAATAAATGAGAAAGCAGATATTGTGAGAGAACTGAATGAGACATTTCTTTCTTTTAACATGACTGCACGTTACTGGATTTAATAAATTATTTCTAAATATTAAAAAGGCCATTTTATGAGACACTCAAAAGCTTTTTTCCCTCCGAACATTTTCCGTTTGGCTGCATTAGCCCAAATAAATGGCGGTTACATGTCAATGTCACAGAGAATTTCCAAGACTGTGGTGATTTAGTCCACATTTGGGATTGTCTTCTCTGGGATTTTCCCAATCCATGAATCCATGAACCTGCTAAAAGAGTCTCAGAACAGGGCCACTAGAAAAGAAGGCTGCAGAGCTTGAAAACCTGAGTGATTCTGAGCAGAACTCAGCCGGTTTTGGGTGGTGAACTTTGATGTTCTCACCACAGATGTTCTGCCCAAACATCTGTCTGACGCTGGGAAACTTTAAAGGGGACATATTATGCAAAACCAAGTTTTGAATCATTTGATTGTGTACATTTGGGACTGTGGAGGGCCTATCAGCAGGCAAAGTGTGAAAAAAAATGTAGTTTCTGACGTCATTAGCTCTAGCTCATTATAATATTCCAGCCTTTCACCTGCATGTTGCCCCCCCCCTCAGCTTACTCCGCCCATCTGTGGCAGACGTCGTGGTAGCGTGAGCGTTAGCATGGTAGCGTTAGCGTGGTAGCGTTAGCGTGCCGACGTGGGCACACCTCCCTGAAGAAGTGGGTGGATTGCCTGTGTCTCATTTGCATTTAAAGAGACAGGCACTCCAAAGCGAGCGCTCTGAACGGGGCTGTTTTGGGTTAGGGTTAGGGTTAGGGTTAGGGTTAGGCAGGGGGACTGAACTGCTATTGGGCTTCATCCTTATGGGATTTTGACCAAAGCTTGTCACAGACATTACATTAGGACACCAGGGAACTAGCTTAACTTGTTGAAATAGGGTATAATATGTCTCCTTTCAGGTTTGAGCTGTTTCAGAAGGAGAGTGTCTGCCTCTCTGGGCAGCTTTTAACTTAGCCCTGCCCATCAGAAAAGCCCCTGATCCTCTGAACGAATGGAAGTTTCCCCCAGTCTAAAACGTTTTCCCTCTTCTCTCCCCGACTCCCCGCAGCTCTCCTGGTCAGTATCATGGTCTGGGCCGTGGAGATCGTTGCCAACTCCGCGCCCCTGTTCCACGACGAGCTTTTCCAGGACCGCTTCAACCACACCTTCTGCTTTGAGAAGTACCCCATGCAGGACTGGGTGGCGGGGATGAACCTCTACCGGACCTTCCTGGGCTTCCTGGCGCCGTGGACGGCCATGCTGGTGGCCTACCGCGGCATCCTGGCCGCCGTGCGCTGCAACGTGTCCACCGAGCGCCAGGAGAAGGCCAAGATCCAGCGGCTGGCGCTGAGCCTGATCCTGATCGTGCTGCTGTGCTTCGGGCCGTACCACGTGCTGCTCCTGGTGCGCAGCGCCATGTTCCTGCGGGCGCCGTGCGACTGCGGCTCCGAGGAGACGCTGTTCGCCGCCTACCACGTCTCGCTGGCGCTCACCAGCCTCAACTGCGTGGCCGACCCCATCCTCTACTGCTTCGTCAACGAGGGCGCCCGCCACGACGTGGGCCGCGCCCTCTCCGCCCTGCTGGCCGCCGCCTGCTGCCGCCGCCGCCGCCGCCGCCCCTCCTCCGGCGGCGGCGGCGGCTCGCCCTCGCACGCCGACATGCTGCACGCCGGCTCGGTCACCGTGGACACGCCGCTGGCCGCCAAGAAGCAGCCCTGCGTGCACGCCGACGGCAAGACCGGCGGCTACAAGACGGAGCTGGTGGCCCTCAGGGAGGAGTGTCTGCAGATGACCATCCTCAGCGTGAAGAAGTGAGGCCCGCGGCGTTCCGAACGGCGTTCCGAACGGCTCCCAACGGCTCCGAATGGCTCCGAACGGCTCCGATTGGCTCCGAAAGGCTCCGAATGGTCCGGTTTCTGCTCCCACAGTCAGGCCTGACGGCTGGCTGTGGACGTGGCCTCTAGATGAGACAGTAACGAGCCACGATTTGATTAGCGGGAACCCGTCGGGCCGTCTGCAGCCATGGTAACGGACTCTTGTGAGGTCGAAATGCTCGCGCAAAGGAAAACTGCTTTTCTCTCCGGAGACCACAGACATCAGGAGGCATTTCTCCTCTTAAAGCAAAGGATCTCGGAGCTCGTTTTGTCTGTTTTCGGGCCTTTGAGATACAGCCAGGCGATGCTGTCATGGATCCCCGAGCTCTGAGCCAGACTAGGATCTGGGTTTTAGATGTAAAGGTATCTAAATGAGGGAACATTTGACCAGTTGGTGACACCAAAAGGAGACTTCCTTAACGTCCTGACACCAAATAGGACGCAGACCCGCCCAGCGTTGAGCATCGGATCCTATTGCCGAAGATCCGAACCAGGATTTTGTGCCAGGAGCCACTTCTGATGCCTACAGGATTTTTTTATGAACTATTTCTAATAGAATTATTTAACAAACCAGCCCCTGCACGACCTGTTAGCAGCCTGAGAAGACACCCGTTTGCAGCATAAACGCCGGTCTAAAGGATCACTGATCCAAAGCTGCAATTGTCTTTAATTTCTTTTGTGTTTTCAAGTGAAATGTCAGGCCTTTTCAAGTACCTCCGCTTCTACACTGTGAAAGCAGGGCGGCTGAGAGAAAGTCCTTTTTCTTACCGTGAGCCATTTTTTTCTTAACCGCACACAGAAAAAGAGCCTCAGTCAGCACAGACATCCGAACATTTTTTTAAATCCTTTTTTTTAGAGCCCAACCGAAGCTTTGAAAAGCATTTATTAGCATAATTACGTCATCAAGATAGATATCAGCGCACCAGAAATAATCCAATCCTAGAAGTTAGCAAGTTTATGTGCTCATGATAGCTCTGTAAGCATTTGTTTGAAGGATTTGTCATCACAAAATGAAGTCAACGTGTTTTCCAATCGAGCTTCTTTTGTCTTTAATGTCTTTAAAAAGGATGATATCAAAGTCTGAGGAGATAAAAGGCTGTGCAGGACAGTGAGGTGAAGACGTTGGGCAAAATGAGCGTTATCATATCGATGGTTCCCTCTGGGTTCCTAGTGATCACATAATAAAATTATCTGATCCTTACCAGGTCTTAAATTAGGTAACACAGCCTCATGACACTTTCCCAACAATAGCAGAAAAAAACACAGGATCTGGGAGGAGTTTTGTCCCTCTCTGCTCTCCGTTTGGTTCGTGCTTTATGAGGCTTTTCATGGTCAGCCTCTTTCTAACTCAAAACTCTCCTGTCCCGGTCAGACTGACAGCTGTTCTGAATGTTTTCCAGCTGTGAAAAATCTTAATCTCTGCAGAAAATCAGACTCCGGATAGTTTTAAATGACCGTATGAGCCTTCAGACTGATGGGCAGCATCTGATTTCATTTCTGATGTCTTTCCTCCTTAGCACCTTGCATCTATAACATCTTAAAACCTGGTGACCACCGGACCTGATGGTTTTCTATTTTGAATTGTATGAAATTGGAACTGAGAGAGGGTGTATTTTCTTTTTTGACTACAAATATCGCCCCCGTCCTCTTAAAAGGGAGAGGTCTCCTGGCCTGATTTGAAAAAAAACATGTTTATGTGCTGCTCATATTTGTTATACTTGACATTTCACTGACAGGAATGGTCTTTCTCTTCCTAGTTGGGAGCTCGTCAGTACTGAAAAACGACACAGAATTGCTCGATAAGTTATTTTTAGCCCCCAGAGCTGGACAGCAGACTCCCACAGAGGCCTCTGTCCTACCTGCAAACAGATTTTTTGCTGGTTTTTGCTCCAAATGTGTGTTTTTTTGTTTTCTTGGATTCACGATGATGAATCTCATTGCATCTGTTTACATACTGCCAAGCTCAGCTGTAGGCCGGCGTAACCACGGCACCACCTCTGCTCAGATGCTGCGTTCAGGCTCAGTTTTTTAGAGAAGCGATGAGTCCCACCTGCTCTGTTTAGGAAACGATCCGATCCCAGAACATATGATGTTCTTATGTGTGCTTTTTTTTGGCATGAAAGCCCTTTTTTAAAAAACAGAGTAATGGTGGAAAGACAGATTTGTGCAGACTCTGGGCTCGGTGTGTGAAATAAATGACGTGTGCAAACCTCAGCATGGACCAGCGTCGTCTTTTCTCAGCCTTACATCCAAAGGAGACTTTTAGGAGCTAATTCACTACTAATAGACAAACATTTTGCCTTTGTACAAAACACGAAATTCAACATCTGGGCCGTAACTTTTCAGGTGAATCCGAACAAATGTATTCTTTCCATAAAAATCAACGGGAAATTGGCTTTAATGGCACATAGGTGGCTTTTTAATCACCACTCAGACAAGCTTGTTTAACTTTTAAATTGGGATGAAATGAATATATGGGTGTGTATCCCCCCCTCATTAATTAATGTCGTACATACCAGGATGCCTGAGGTCAAATATGAGTATCTGTTCATTCGTTTTATGCAGGATCAGGCAAACATAGAGCAAGGTTGTAAACCTCTAAAGTGGTCAGAATGTGTTGTAAATACCTTGAACTCTCTGAGTCCTGTGTGTCCTGCCATCTGTTGGCCGGAGATTCTCCACGATCGTTCGAGGTCAACCAGAAACAGAAACAGACGCTCACGATGCTTTTAAACTCTCAGAGTGGCCAAAAAAAAAAATCCAACCTGTTAAGATCTGAAGACAAAACCCAGATCCTTTGGTTGGGATTCAAAGAAAACAGGCTTTCGCACTGTTTCCATGCAACAAAGATCCATCTATTTATTTAAAAAATCATTTTAAAAAAGCTAATGTGTGTATATCATTAACAGATTTTCAATAATTCTGATGTGATTCAGGTTTATCAGCTTCTTAATTCAAACCAGCACAAAGACACAGCTTGTCTAAACTGAGTTCAAATCAAGTTCCGGTTCCCATTCATCACCGTTAATATTAGCACGGTCCTGTTTTGTTGGAGATCAGAGAGGGCGGCTCTGGGATGCTGCCAGCTCAAAGTCACCTTCCTCACTCCTCACCCTCTCCAGACTCAAAGGGATGCATTCAGGGCCTCCTGTGTTCTCCGCGCACGTCTCTATCAGCACGTTTGCAAAGAGGCTCTCTTTATGGTTTTTACATCCGTGAGCTGGCCTCGGGGGGACGGACACTCGACTGGTCTGAGAGGAGATCAAACAGTCTTGTAGGAGCCTAAATGCAGTTTATTTTAGTTAGAATATATATATTTTTTTAAATATGCAAATTCATAAGAGAGATAAATATTGTTTGTCATTTTATGATTCAAAGGGATTTAAAAAGATTGAAAAATGCTATTTACATATGTACAGTTCATTGATATTGTGTGAGTAACATATGACTTTTATTGTGAAAATTAAAAACTAAATAATAAAAACTAAATCTAATAATAAATACTATATAAAAACGAATAAAAATAACTAATAAAAACCAACGATTGAGCACAATAGTTTTTTGACCTCGCCCTTCCCAGGCTCTGTTGGACTTTGAAAGACTTAATTTAGTGGATTCATATTTCATGTTTTTTGTAATGTTGCGTTAAGTTTTCAAGTAAAACCGTTAAAAATCAAGAAGTGGACTTGTGGATTTATTTTTGGAGTGTTTTTTAAACACTCCAAAGCTTCCATAAGGACAGTAAGAATCGAAGAGGCTGTACAGGAAGGAGTGGAAATACGGGTAAACAGGAAATAAGAGCGCGTAGAATTCTGCTGTTTTTGTGTCGTATTGTTGGGGAAATGAGAATAAACTTTAGGCAGAAAGTGAGGCCCCTGTGTGAGGAGAAGAAGCTCGCCCTGTGTGAGAGGGAACATTGTTTCTCGTCCTCCGTGCTTGACTGGTTACCTCTATGAGCGCCGGCTCTATAAATAGCAGCTCACCAGAGGCCCCCGCAATGTCATTACCCACAGCTCACCTGATTATGACAGTGATTCAGCACCAGGTGGAGGGAAAAAACCAACCCCTGGGAAATGAGAGGGGGGCTCTGGCCTGAGATCGGCTCGGCAACAGCAGGAAAACCTGCACAGGGGTTTTGGGTTTCAGCCGGATGCATCCACACCACAACACAGCATCAGAGTTTTTTTAGAGAGGAAAAATAACCCTTTTGGTAATTATTTCAACACTGCGTTCTGCTATTTGTAAAATAAACCCACAAAAATAGTGTCGAGGGGTTGATATGCCAGAGGTTTTTCCACCTGTTTGCTTTTCCTGGTTGAGTTTGAGAAGCACAAAAAGGCTTTATTCGTCTTTTTGTGCTTCTCAGCTTCTACTTTTCATGTAACGTTGTGCCCTTTTCTTCTTACTTTGGCCACTGATCTTCCTTTTCCGTTTAATTTCATGGAGTCTTCCCCCTGTGTGTGTCGTTGGCTTTAACTTTTCTGACTCCCTCTGTCTCCTCTTTTTCTGCTATTTCCATGCCATGTTTCTTTAAATGAACCCTTCATGTATTTTTTATGCTTGAGTGACACAACTTTACTAAACACACAGTCAGAAAACACAATGAAATATCCTGATCAATGCTCAGCAGAGGCCAGAAAGCCTGGTGTCAAATACAGGTAGAGATGGTTGAAAATCTCATTTTCATCAGTTGATATTCATTAGGTAAAGAAGAAGACTTAGAGTCATATCCTGAGTTATTATTATGGCTGAAAAAACTGAGTACACAGAGTTAAATTGTTAAATTGGACTGTTGTGATTCCTGCAAAAGCATCCAAAGTGATGACTGTGCATCCTGATAACCAAGTTAGAATTTCAATCAATTATAATACTCATAAAAACCCAATAAATTAGTATAAATATTTGGAGAGTTCTTGCACTAAGCGGGGTGTTTATTCCACC